AAGAGGGAGCGAGAGAGAGAGAGAATTCTGAGAAATGAGGAAGGGGAAGGGGAGACGCGGTTTTATGGGTTTCAATCATTATAAACGGGAAAATCCGTCTATAATGAGTTTAATGAAACAGTTCATTTCAGGTGGCACCTTACAGACGGATTTTTTCGTCTGTAAATTCGTCAATTTCATTTACAGACGGAAAAATTCGTCTGTAATTTGCCACCTGAAAGGTCGGTTAAAACGGCCATATTTACAAACAAAAAAATTTGTCTGTAATTTCCCGCTATAACATTCCCTCCTATTTTCAAATTACAGACGAAAAAATTCGTCTGTAATTCCTGTCTATAATGTTTCACGCCAAAAGGTGGGCAAATTACAAATGGATTTTATAGACGGATTAAAATCCATCTGTAATACAGAAGGATTTATAGACAGATTTTTCAAAATAAAATAAAATAAAATTTTAATCCATAAATCCATCTGTATTACAGACGGATTTCAATCTGTCTGTAAAATTTGTTTGTATTAAGCACTTTTCTAGTAGTGTAAGCGAGAAGTAGTAGGAAAACTAGGTGACTATCTGGGCCTGATCTCGCTCAGGCGAGAACGCTGCTCGCTTAGGCGAGATGGAGCTTGCTCAAGCGAGGTGTTCCTCGCTCAAGCGAGAATTGCAGAAATCTAGGAGGTTCCACTATTTAGTTTTCTCACCCAGGCGAGGGTGAGCTAGCTCAAGTGAGTGCGTGCGGATCTGGATGGGTATTTAAGGAGCCTCAACTCCAAAAACATTCATTTTCTCACTAGACAGCTTTCTCTCTCATTTTCTATATTCCTTAACTAAGCTGATTTAGTCCATAAGATAGATAATCTCATAGTAGCTAAGAACCAGCTATTGTATAAACAAGTTTTATGATAATTGTTTAGAAAGCTGTGGTAGAACATGATGTGCTATAATGCTGTGTTATACATGCTGAGGATGTTAAAATATTCAAAAATACTTAAATAATGTTTTAAGCAGCTTAATTTCATTATGCAATAAGTGCTGTAATGTTTAATTAATATTGTGAAATGCTTGGTTTTACCGTGATAATATATGTATGAGTATACTGCCAATGCTGGATGAAAATGTATACATTGTTGTATTGTTGAAGCTGGGATTAGATTTAACTCTGTTGTATTATATTAATTTAATTGTGTTGCATCACATTCATTTTTATCATTCTAAAGCTGCATAAAACGCTGAGTTGTTCTTATCTGGATTCAGATACCAAGATGGGTCACTCCTAGACTGGAACAGTTCCTCTGGATTAATTAGGTTGTGAAACTAGATGGAAAATGAATCGCTGCATTTGCATTAGATGCGCTGTGAATGGGCTGGACATGTTGCATAAATTGATTGAAGTTATCATGCTGATTGCTGTGAATTACATTAATTGTACTAATGATTTTAATATACTTATATTTTGTAGTTATGATTTTTATTTATATAAGCTCACCCTTGTATTTATTTGTGTTGTTGCATGTGTGCTGCAATGATCGTACTATGGTACGTGAACAGAAGTGATAGGTGGAGTATCCAATTTACTTACTAGGGAGTTTGGTTAAAGAGTACTTCAGGCTAAAGCTTTTGATATATATATATATATATATATATATATATATATATATATAGCTTAAATTTTAGTAGTTTAGGTTTTCAGTGTAAACCTAAGTCACTTGGTTACAGATCTGATTTTTTTATGTAACTTTTATGCAACGACTTTGTATTTTGAGCTCCATTTGGAGTAATTGTTGACATTATGTATACATATATTTATAACATCTTGGTATTATGGAAAGATATCTTTGAAACTTTTTCAATCTGTTGACTTAGATGTTCAAGTCAAATTTCCTTTAAAAAATCTTAGTATTTGTAATATATATGAATACTAACTCGTTAATAAAATTTTTATATTAAAAATAATAATGTGTTACGTCATTGATCCCTTTTAAAAAGGGATCGTGACATTTACTCCATATACAAAAGAAGAAAAGTGCAAACCAAAACACAATATGACATAGAATCATATAAGAAATATAGAACAATAGAGAAGAAAATACTTAAGATAGGTTTTGGACGCTGGGTAATGGCTACATGACACACTGGACAAGAAGCATTGTTCCTCACTCTTGGCATGAGTTGCACTGTGCAAGTACAAGAAAGATTGAGAGAGAATGCAAATCATCGATTAACCCAAAATTTTGTAAAATTTGTATGATAAAAATGTTAAATGAACAAGAAAGAAACATACTTTGCTAAGCAATGCTAAGCTGGGAACTTGAGTCGCTGTGGAGCAATGCCCATAGAGAGAGAAGCTGAGGAGGGACTTAGAGAATGGGAAAAAGGAGTGTGAAAGTAAGAAAGGACTTATAGGGTTTGAAATTAAACCACATTAAACTGTTTGAAACATTTACACGCTATAACAGTTGGTTGAAAAAACAGTTTATCACATCACGTTAAGTAAGATATACATTGTTTATTTATTAGTTTAAAATTATACTATATTTGTTAATTTTCAACGTAATTTTAAAGCATGCAAAATTACAAAATGCTGTAAAAAAAAAGTTAAATTATTATAGCATTTTATATCAGTAGCACTTCAAAAGAACTTTGAACTACCATATTACAACATTTACTCTTATAAATACTTTAGTATTCATACTCTAATATATCTTTTGTGATAGTGTTTCAATTGCGACAAAAAAAATATATAAATGCTAGGTTAGTATCCTCTTAATCAAATTTTTTTCAACTAAAATTCATCTTCCCTTAATTAGGTTTAATATCTCAAATTTATAACAACACAATTATTTTGGTGCCCGATTCTAATCAATGGGCGGCATGGTCAACGTTGAAACAGAAGGCATACTTCAATGATCATATATAGTAACAAAAGCACGACATCACGGGTAAATAGTTGCTTCTTTAATTTTTACCTTGAAAGATTGGCCTATGTAGAAGCAAATATATCAATAGCCAAAATAGTATAAGATAACTATTGCCTATTAATCCAACCCAACCAATATATGGCAAAAGTTACATCTTTTAGGAGTAGGTAGAGGGCAATGTTTGCTTTTCGGTTTGAAAAGCTCCAAAGTATAATTAGAATAACGATTAAATATGTTTTTTGTTTTATATTTTTGTAAATTTTTAATTTATTTTTTCTAAAACAATATTTAAAATTTTAGTTTTTTTATTAAAATCTATAAAAAAAATTTTACGTGATATAATAAAAACTTGACACATATTGACTTTATAATTAGTCATGTCATCACTATAAAAAATATTTAATTTAGAAATCAGACACTAAAACTTTTTAAATTAAAATTAAAGGTTCAAAAATATATATAAACAAAAATATTTGAACTTTAGAAAAAAAAAATTTGTCTTACTTAACTTTTGTACCTCAGTCATGATTTGGAATTATGCAACAAGAAATGTTGACTTCGAATGATGCAAACACTTGATTGCTTCAATTGATTAACAATGACAGATACCGTTGTATCTTGAGATGAAATCATGTAGGTTCATATACGTGGAAAGCATTAAACTCATAACATATGTAGTGCACTTCCTTAAGAATTTAGTCGATCAGTTAAAGTTAGATGAATGAAAGTGAGTTCCCTCTTTCAATTGTTAAGAAAGTTAATTCTATTTAACGTTGTTAATTTTATTTAAATAAATTTTACTTTTAATATATCTTTTCATAATATTTATTGTACAGACAAATAAATTATTTAACTTTTTTTATTAACATTAAATTATATTAGTCGATGATTTGAATTTTTACGTTAAATATTAGTGTTAAAGGTAAAAAAATAATTTTCGAAAGAAATTTAAATCATGAAAATTTGTTTAAGAGTAAAATTTTTTCTTTCTACTTTTTAAAATTATATATAATTTTTTTTATATATCATGAGTATTATTCATTAGAAACAATCTTGTTTGAATAAGTAAGATCACTCATTAAGTGTGGTTGATAAAATTCTTCTTTTAAATATTTAATATAGTTGCATTTATTAAAACTCGAACTTGAGACTACGTCTTAAGCTAGAACAACTCGGATAATTATATATAGTTGTTGATGTTACAGTTCGAGAATAAGAAAATCATTAAAAATAAAATTTAAGTTAATAAAGGATATTTGAAATAATTTCATTCTAATGTGACATTAATTTGTATTTACTTATACTAAAAATTAGAAGGATTAATTTTCTTTTAAAAATAGTACAGATAACAGTTGATTTTTACATATTTAGAAAACATTTCTATTTCTTTGTGGACATAAAAGTTCAAATAAATATGAATTACTATTCTTTTATTAATATCCTTTTGTTGATACTACTATTTTAGTATTCTAATTAATGATGAAAAAAATCCACTTAATTAGGGTAAAGTAAAAAGTTTAACAATTAATTAATTTTTTATCTGCTTAACTTTTAAGAAGATTGGTGATTATATATATAAAGTATCTATTGTCAAAATTTGAAATTCATTTTAATATATTTTTAATAAAATATTATTTATTCATGTTTTATTGGTTCCTTTAAAGTACTGGTTGATAAAATAGTTTTTCTTATTTAGAGGTGAAGCAAGCAACCACATATTCTTTAAAGGAAATGTTGGATGTACTATTAGAAGTAGACACGTTGAATTGACGCAAGAATGTGAAATGAATTCGATACATTACTTGTCATCCACCAAGTCTCCCCTTCCTTTGAAAAATAGAAAGGTGTCACTAATTCCTTTAAAATGTGAAGTTTAAATTAGAGATGCCATGTAGTGAGTGATCTCTTGATAACTAACTACACACGAAAAACCATAACAAGGACAACACTGGTGAACCATTATGTACGGTCCAGACATGAAGTAACAAGTACGATAACCATAGACCCGTGACGTTATTTGAACTAGTAAAGTTTAGAAAAACTGAAAAGAAGAACGAATAATATAAGCTCACAGAGAGAAGTTCTCAAAGTCTTTGGAGAATGGCAGTTTTTAGCGCCTCTTCAGTCATGAGGTGATGAGGAACCCTAACGACGACGTCCTGAAGCATCATCTCCTTGATGTTGGACATAGTCGCATGGAGGATTTGCAAATGCAGGTCCCTGAGAGCGTCCATTAACCTAGCACTGGGGTGGTTAACGTTAAGGCTCTGCACCCTTACCATGGCCTCTGATCCCAATATCTTGACATCAACCCTCATAGGAGCAGTGGGTGAAGCAGAAACCGAGGCCTGCATGGTTTGCACAGGCTCTGCAACTTCGTGATTGGATCTTCCCTCTAACGTGGCCTCCAAATGGTTAATTTTGGCTTTGAGTTCGTTGATGTAGGAAACGGCGTCGGAGAGCAAAGAAGCTTTGTCCATCTTGGACACGTTGGGGACGGCAGAACGAAGAGCGTAGAATCTCTGATTCAGCTTCTCTCGTCGCTGCCTCTCGGCCTCCACGTGATTCAGAGGCAGTTGATCACGTGCCTTTCTCCCTTCCCTTCTCATCATCATTGCAACGTCAGCATCAGACGGTCCTGATGAGTCAGGGGAAGATCCCTCTACCCCTACCCCTGTTGATGCCTTTGCAGTTGCAGGGGCTTCCTCATCTCCTCTCTGTTTATCCTTCTCTTTGCTCCCAACCCCAATGCTTTTGCTCATTTCAAACACTGATTTAACCATCTGCAAGAACCCGAAATCGAGGGTGAACTCGTAACACGAACCCAGCTCAACGACGCCGTTTGGTGTAGAAACGCACACCAGAGTTTGGATCCCGTTGCTAAGAGCCTCTCTAACTCTGTTGTCGCACTCGTTTAATCGAAACTCGTTCACTCCGCTCAACCACACATCAACCCCTGAGCTGAAGGCACATCCAACCACACCTTCACTAGCGCCGAACGAGCGTGTTTGCGACACTGTGTAGAACCATTCCACGTCGTTCATTTCCGTGTCCTCCAACGTGATTGTTTCCTTATCCTCTTTGCCATTCTCGCCGCGAAAGTAGCCGTCGCCCCATTCCAATGCGAGGGAGGAATTGCCGTCTTTGGAAGCTCGCCAGTAGATGGCGTAGACCCACCACTCTGGACGGTTTTGTAGAACGAATTGGAGGCGCTGTTGAAGCGCGTTGGAGGCTTCTACTTGCGATGATGAAGCAAAGCGAAAAAATTCTCTGGTTTGGCCTTTCATTTTCTCTCTTTTTAAGTTTTAAGTTTTCATTTTATTTATATTTTGGAGAAGGTCTTCTTCAATTGACGTAGAAAACAAGGATTGGTAGTGTGTGCGTGTATGTGTATGTAAGCTTTCAAATGTGAAACATCGAAATCAATTGCATGTTGGAAGGAGTGACAGAGACATGTACACACGGAGAGAGGAATGAGGAGAATGAATTGAGACTTGCATGAACCTATCCTGCAGAAGAGAAACCCTGGGAGCGAAAGTGAGAGGCATTGAACATTTGAACCTCGTTAAAAATAGTCCTTCCATTCACTGTGCTGCGCCAGTTTCACGTGTGCACGCAAAATTTGACTACGAAAGGATGGGCTGAATTCGATGTATCATCCATCGTGGAACTTTTTTATTTTATTTTTGGTATGTTCTGTACTTTCTTAAATTTTTTCTATGAATATTATATTTAAAATTTTTTATTATATATAATTTATTTAAAATTATATTATTTATATTATTTATTTTATAGTTTTATTGTTATATATATATATATATATATATATATATTGTATATTAAAATTTTTATTTTATTTTTTATTATTTTTTATAAATTTTTAATTTTAAATAAAAGATAATTTCTATTTAAGTAATTTCTATTTATTATAAATAAAAATAAATATAAATATAAATAATATGTTAATTTAATAATTAAATATTAATAATAACAGAATTAAGAATATAAAAAATATATTAATATAATAATATTATTTTATTTTTAAATTTTAATTTTTTTAATTTTAATTACGTCTTTATCCTATTCAAAAATTTAAATATTTTTTAATTTATTTAAATGTAACAAATATAATAATTTATTATTAAATAAATTTATTATTTAAATTAAATATTATTGGTTAAAATATTTCATGTACGGTGCCCTCAAAAAAATTTTATAGGTACCACAAAATTTACTTTTATTTTTTCTTCTTAAATTTCATTCTTTCCATTTTTAGTAATATTTAGTTTAAACTTTATCATGCTCATGTACTTCAATACTTATTTTATTCTTCCTGAACATCATATTTTTTATAAACTTATTTATTTCAAAACAAAATTATTATGTTTAAAACAAATTTTATTTAGTTTTTGTTTTTAAGCTATTTATAGTGTTAAGAAAATGTATATTTAATATTTTTAATGCTTGAAATATGCTTAATAGCACTTAGAAAAAATGTGAATTACAAAAAAAAAAATTGAAAGGTAAGTGACGAATTTCATTATTTAATATGAATTTATAGATAAGTTAGACTCGTGATTTATTTATTTGTTTGTAAATCTATTTAAAAATTATAAATATTTTTTTTTCTATTTGTAATTTACAGGTGAATTTTTTTATCTATAATTTATATAGAGAATTTTTTATTTATAACATTTAATTTATTTTTTCTTTTATTTATTTATATAATTATTGTAACGTCCTAAATTTTGTAATATTATTTTAATTATTAATATAAGTATGTGGGTTGCTATTTGAGTGTGTATTTGATGATGTGAATGTATGTGTATATATGTGATGATGTGGACATGTATGAATATATGAATATAAATATGCGTAGATGGATATATAAGCATAATTATGAATATTGATTGTGGATTGATGGCTGGGCGTGTTTGAAATTGATTGAAAAATAGGTTAGAAATGTGTAATGCAGGGGCATTCTCACTGTAGCAAAAAGGTCCTGGGCGTAAAGTATGAAACTATTACGTTCTCGTTGCAAATAGAGTCTTTTCGCTGTAGTAAGAGGGCAAAAAAGAAGGGTACAATTTTAGATGCAGTCTCGCTGTACCGAGATTCTGTCATAACCAAAGTGCAGTTTCCTCTAATATTTTTGCTACAGCGAGATATGTCTCGTTGTAGTGAGAATATCGCGACCAGAAGGGTATTTGAGGAGTTTAAGGTTTGGAAAACGCATTACCACTCTTTTCTCTTTAACTCTCTTTTGATTCTCTCAATTTCCAGCCCTATTTCATCTATTAAATTGCCTCCAAAGTTGTTTGTGAGCAAGATTGAAGATTGAGGTTGTGTTTGGGATGTTTGGTGGTAAGTTTTATGAACTAGGGTTTTGGTCTTTCATCCCTTTCTTCGTTTTCTTGGTTTCTTATGGAGATTTTTGTTAAGAATTTAGTAGTATGTAGTATTTAGTTAATTTTAATCTTCTTTTCTTCTTCTTTAACTTCTTATTTTTCATTTTTTTCTTCCAAATTTATTAGAATTCTAGTTTTTAAAATTTTCTTACCTTAATAATTTTTTGGTGAAAAATGCTAAAGTTTGGATATTTATTCCAGATTATTTAGAGCCAAGGCACAGACCTATGTGTGCCAAGGCACCACCCAAGTGTGATAATTTGCTCTCAAGTCATCATATGCCAAGGCGCAAGCTTGCGTGCGCTAAGGCGCTTATCATGATTAGCTAATGAAGTTGCAAGATTTTCAGCACCAAAGCGCAGACGTTTATGCACCAAGGCACAAACTTACTGACGTGGACAAGAATACATATTGTATAAGATAAAAGGGATTGGAGACACGTTGTAAAAAAGAAGAGTATGATTTTTGTGATAGAGAACCAAGGAGTAACTCTTTTAGGGCAGGAAGACCAGACCCACACTTGTGTCTTTGAAGAGAAAGATTAGAGAAAATTTCCAAACTCATTTTCTTCTCAAGAATATGGCTAAGGGAATCTCTCTTTCTTCTCTTGCGATTTTCATGTCTATGATGGATTGCTAAACATTTTGTAGTTAGGGTTGATGGATCCCTTTGAGATTCTGATGTAATTAGATTCTTGACTCTAGTTTAAGCTTCTTTTGATGTTAGCTTGTAAATTTATTTTTAATGCTTGGTATGAACTAGCTACTTATGCTTTGTTTTGATGAAATTTCTTGACACTAGAAAATGAAATGAGTGGTTGTGATTCTTGATTTACTTGCCTCATCATTTAATTTTCTAGGAATAGAAATTATTTGGTGTGTAATCTTTTGGTTTCCTTGTGCTCTAAAACCTTAGACTCATACATTTGGAATTAAGGAATTAATCTTTGTGTATGGGTTCAAGAGAATTTGTATACCAAGGAATTGGATATAAATTAATTTAGTAGAAACTTTTCTTAACATCTTCAGAAGAGCTTGAACTAGTAAGAGAGTTTAGTTTATCACATGAAAAATGGGTGAAATTTAATCCTAACTATCTTGTCATTGAATTTTCTTATCTTATTTTAGATTTTGTGGTTTATCTACTTGCAAATTGAATTAAATCAATTTATATTTTAGAGCACCCTTCAATCTTAATCGCATTCAATTAGTTTAATTTAGTGAATCAATGTGTTTGCATCAATCTCTGTGGGAACGATACTTTATTTTCACTATACTACTTGTACGATTTAGTGCACTTACTGAAGGCAGTTGTCAATTTTTCATGCATTTAGGACGAAACACCGTGTTGGGAACGTTTTCCACTGTTAGATTGTGTTTATGTCTTTATTCCGAGGTAAGGGAGGACTCTACCCTATCTCTCTGTGCCTTGAATCTGTTTATATTGATAGATAATGCAATGTGGTTAAGATAGGACGTAGGAAGATGTATATGTAATGAGAATGACTTGATAGTAATTGTGTTGTGATAGAAATTTTGTGTGAAATGTAGTGTGACTGATGTTTGAGTATAATATGTGATTGGATATTATGTGGTGGAATATGGGCGTACTTGCCTCCGATTGAGAATGAATAATATGAGATAAATGAAATGTGTGTGTGTAAGGCATGATGAATTGCGATTGTGATGATGTTTGGAATGCTTGGAAAACTATGAATGGTTCAGCGATATTGCACCATAGGTCACATACTGCGATACTGCACATGTTGTATTCGTGGAGCGGGAGCTATCTAGCGACCATCCATAGTGTGAAATTGAGTAAGTTACTGAGGTTGAGGGCATTAAGAATCTGTAATCACGGTGCCACAGTGAGCATGGCTAATGTGCAGTGAGCGCACCTATGTGTGAATGGATGTGCAAATAGGTGTGAACATTGTTGAAAGAATGGATTGATATGCTTGTTTAAATGTAATTTTATTATATTAGTGATTGTTGTGAAATGTGTGAGGTGAGTTTATATGCTTGTGTGAGATAGTGTAGAGTACTTACCCTTATATTTATTTTTCAGGTAGCCAAGACGATCAGCACTGAGCTTAGTGAAGGGATGGATGAAACTGCTATAGGACTTAAAAAGTTATTTTGAAAATTCTGATGTATTTAAATTAGTCCTCTAGCAATCATTTGATATAAACTTGTAATCCATCCTTATTTTGAAATACTTTATTGAACTATGTATTGGGAATCGTTTGAATGAAAATTTTTATTATTCCCATTTTTGTGAAATTTATTTATTTAAAAATGAAATTAAGGTGTTGCAATTATTCTTCATTGTTCTTAATTATTACGATAATTTATAATTATAACAAAAATTATAAAATCAAAATTTAAAATTTAAAAAATTATTTAAAAATGTTAAATTAAAATATTATAATATAAGTAAATATTCAAAGTAATAATGTAAAAAATAAAATAACAATGTCTATCATAAGTACTTGGCATGATTATCATTGATAGTAAAATCATCATTAGTAGAGGAAGAGAATGATGAATGTTGCATCAGCGCAAATACTAGTGGTGCTGTTTGTGGAGAAGGAGGAAAAGGTGTTTAAATGTTTGCTCTCATGAGCTTGAAGTATGCATGCATCTACTACATTTGCATATGTTGCTATTGCACCTCCTTTTGCATCCTCGATATCACATTTTTCCTTTATATTATTCTTCATTTTCTTGACCACTTTTTCTTTCATGCACTCTCCTTAGTCTTCCACATCTCCTTATTTTGCTTCTAGAGCTCTTCATTTAGGGCATAGACTTGAGTGCAGACTAGGTCCTCTACCTCCTCAGACACGAGAAAGGACATCTCTAGTGACACCATGTCCT